TCAAATAACAAAACGTTCTGAAGAAAGTTATGGTCAAAAATGTCAAACTTTCTAGTGGAAACGTCCGATGGCACCTGAAAACACTCAGTGTTGCTAAGGCTCAAAATATAAGTAGTGCCCCTCGTACATATCCCTCACATTTCGGTAAGATAAAATAATCTTTTTATCTATTATAAGTTTAGTGAGACCACCAGCAGCCTTAAGGACATCATAAACTTGTCTTTGAGATATTAGAAATCTAGATAGTTGATTTTCAACAATACATTCCTTGTTTATTGAAAATCTTTTTTCCACAAATGCTTGACCATGACTAAAAATAAGGATCTTTTTCACAAAGACATAAAAATTCTGGAAATTATCTTGACCTTCAAGCAAGTCTTTTCAGAAATGATCAATTCTTCGATTTTCCCTAACAAATTGCTTGCATAAATCAATTACTTCTTTCTTGTGATAAAGAACATTAAATTCTTTCTCAATTTTATCACAGGTCTGACTAATAAACCAATTTCTTGCGGAAAACAATTGTAGAGCATTAGAAAGCCTATTAAGTCAGTAGTAGCGCAAGCCGTGAGAGCACATGAGAACGCGTAACTAAAATTCTGTGGCTATGATGTACACATATTTTAAACTTCTTTACAGCCATTTATTTTTCCAGAAAATTTTGCTAAATTCCCTGACTTTTCCATGACTTCCCTGACTTCCCTGACTTGTGGCAATCTTGTCTCTAGTCCAACCGAGTCACTAATGCCTAATTGTATTATCAAGGGTTTTGAGCTTTAAAAAAATTTGAAAAAGTTCTGGTATATTTTTTCAACATTCAAGAACACGATTTTACAGTGGTGTAACCCGAAACGTTTTTTTACTTTCTTTATATATCAGTACATGTCCGAATTTGAAGCAGAATAATTAACAATTGAAAATTTGCTTGAATGTTTAAAGCGCCATTTTTTGTTAGAATTAAATCATAAAGTGTCAAATGGATTTTTCATAATTTACAGAAAAGGCGTGTTATAATATATAACTCCACTTACATAACAACAAAGTCTTACGAGAATAAAACATTAAGGGTCTCACGATATAATTAAATTTAAAGTCAATTTATCTTAAAATGCGAAAGTTTCTATAACATTAAATCGTAAACTATTAAATGAATTTTTCAATAATTACGCGGAAAGATCGTGTTATAACTCTACTTGTATACGTAATAACATTAAAGTCTCTCTTGCACTCAATACAACTCGAGAATTGCCATCACTTCCCTATTGCAAATTCCTGATGAATGCCTGGGAATTTTTCTTTGAGTTTGCCTAATCCATGGCAAATTCGACAGGTCCTCAAAGGAGGAGGCTCCTATCTTGCTGTGAATTCCCTTTTATTTTGGGCTTATTGGGCTTTTTCATGGATTCCTGTAGAGGATTATAAGATTCTGTAGGAGCTTGTATAAGTACTTATTGGATTTACACAGCATGTATATATAAGATAACATAGGACATTTTTCTACAAGGTTTTACATAGGGACCTATGGCATCAGTCCATGAAAAGAGGCTCCTATAGAATGGCATGGGAAAAAGAATGATGTGCACGTTGTTGCAATCGAACCTAAATGATGTACAGAATGTCCCGTATTTGGGACTATCTTCGTGTACAGATAAAGTAAACTAAACTGAGTCGAAAAGTCCTGTATCATTTTGCAATTTTCACAATAGTTAGTTTCTAAAGATTACCGAATAAGTGGATAAAATCGACGTATAAGACAACTTTAAGATATTTTTCAGAGTTCTTTATGACATATTTTAAAGATGTTTTTCAAAGAACTCTTACAGATATCTTAAAGTTGTCTCATTAGTTGATTTTAGACATTCTGCTCATTGGGTAATAATTATTAATTGCAAAAATTGCAAAATAATAGAAAACCTTTCGGTTCAGTTTAATCCTCTCTATCTGCATACAAAAATAGTTCAAAATATTTTGAGATACCTTGTATAGTACCCAAATAGTCACAAATATTCTGACACACCCTGTATATAGTCCTATACATATTAGAGCGTATACACAAAATACTATAACAACCGACTGATGTAATTAATTCCACGTGAAAATCTAAGATAATTTTTCCATAACTCCAAAA